GATAACAAGTATACTAAAAACAGTAATAAAATTATGACTCAAACAGAAGTAATGTACTTGCAAAACAAGGCTCTCCACCACATGGGTTTCTCCCAGTGGGGAGAGGCTGTGAGAACAACCAGGTGACACTTTTTAGTCACATCACTTAACTGCACGCCTGGAAAGCTCTCGGAGCTGCTGCTGGTGGGGATGATGCTGTGAGGCCCTCTGCAGAACATAAACATTGTGCTTCAGCAAAGCCTTTCACTATGGTGTAGATGGAACCATTATTTTTCCCCAGGGTTTTAGGCACTGGATTCTTTCAGGAGCCATTTAATTATTTTCATTTTATTTCTGCTCAATCTGTATAGGAAAGCTTAGTAAAAGGACTGTTCATTTTGACAAGATTCCTTAGGGAAACCTCAAGACAAAATAGCAGTAATTTCTTCCACATATAACTCACCAAGAAAAGTAGCAGTGGAAATAAAGGGGTAATAACAGAAAGGGGAAGATTATCTTTTAAAAGCAATTGCTTAATAGCAATGCACAGTGAATATATTTAATGTCTTAAATATTGGTTTACTTAGGGAAGACATGAGGAAATGTCAGGAGCAAAGAGACTCTTAGAGCTAAAATGAAATTAAAATTGGCAAGTGTAAGAGGAGAGGAGAGGTAGGGGGAACGAGAATCCCACAGGTGGGAGTCCCATGGTCCTGATGAAGGCTTGATGGCTGTATCCCAGCTGTGTGTTTCCTGCTGCTCGGTCTGCCAAGGCACCTGCTAACCTGCCTCCCTTACTGGCTTCCTTTCTCCTTAGAGGGAGACAGCTGAGGCAGAGACCTACAGATAAACACACAGGTCTGTCCCTGGTGTGAACTGGCTTGCAGAGAGGAGACAAGTGATGAAGTCCTGTTCCCCCTAACATGTGAGATCTTTATTTTCTCTGCTCTGAAATGTCCAACATTGCTGATCCCCAGGCTCTTGACCCAACCCTACCTTTCTTCCCATCCTCTGGTACACTCCTGACTGATGACACCTTCTTTCTTCCAAGCACAAGGACACAGGCATTTCAGGGCTCTGCCTGCCACTGGCAGTCCCTTCCTTACAGGAGTGTCCCCATGTCCCCTCTGAGAGCTTGGTGTTGCTGCCTGGGGAACTTGACCTGCCAAGCCTGGGAGATGCTGCCTTCCAGAAGGAAGAGAAAACCCCATCCATCAGTTATCAGTATATTTTCTGATTACAGATCTTTCCTCATGCCTCCACAACCAAGACATAATCTATGTTCTTAAACTGATTAGGAGACCACAATGCTGAGGCCTGCAAAACAGCAAACATTTTCTCACCTGTACCTGTTCTGAGCCTTCTGGGCCCTGAACCTTCAAACACACACTCAACTCTGCAGAATTTTAGTTTAGTAGCCATGAGTTGCCCCTTGGACTTCATATGCACCTGGCTTTAGGATTGATGTGGTAACCATTCCCCCAGTCCATTACACTGCTTGCAGCGGGTCAAGTACATAAATCATGGCAGTTTTCAGGCTTGGACTTTAGGATGTAACTGTGCCCTAGAAAATGTGTTGAAAATACTCAGTTGGATCCAGCTCTAAGCTGAGGATATTGGTGGCACTGAGCGCCTGGAGGGCAGGCATGGCTCAGTGTCCAGCACATATCCCTGCAGGTAGATTCATCCTTCCCTCATACCAGGCAACCAGCCAGACACTGGGATCTTAAAAGCAAACTCCCTTCCCATAAATTCATATGTCTATAAATTTTACAGCCATGGGGAGCATTAGGACTCTCTATCTTCTGTTTAATTGGAGCCAAAGAGGCTCATTCAATAAATTCTGTGTCAGCTCAGAAGTTGTGATTGAGCCATGGAGAAAGTTATCCAAATATTGACATAAGACTGAAAGGAATGGGGAACATCCCATATTAAACTCATATTGGCTATGTATCCTCATTTGCCTTCTATCTTTGTAACAACTCACGTGTCTCACTTAAGCTTCTAGCTTCAGGTCTTTGCTGCTTCTTTACTCTTTGCCAGATTGAATATTTTTTTCCTCTGCCCCTCCCTAAAAAAAAAAAAAAAAAAAAAAAAGAAAAAGAAAAAAAAAGGAAAAAAAAAGAAAAAAAAGAAAAAAAAAAAAGAAAAAAAAAGACCCCACCCTTGTTTGAGATTTAATAGCTGGGTTTTCCAAGCTACCATCACTTATACTTCTCTCTAATCATGAGCAGGCTACACTTTTGTTGCTAAAAGCTGATTTATTTCTTATTACCTACTCTTTTATTTTAGTGTGAGAAGCCCTGAAGAGCTTAAAGAGAGCCTCTTGAAGGAGAGACAGCAGCCATTTAGAGTGTATGGCAATTTTTGTGATGGTTGCTCCTACGGATGACCCTGGCACAACAGATAGACACATGGATGTCTATCTGAGGCTCAGCTGAGGCTCTTGGTGCTTGGCCAGCAGGGCCATGTTTTTGCCATAATAACAGTGCCTTTGAAGAATTAAATTGCAGAGTTGGAATGACTTAAAGCACATGCTGATCCCAGAGTTATAATGACTGACTGGACTACTGGAGCTGTGTTTGAACATTCAGGCATTAGGTCTTCCATATTTGATATTAATTCTCTTCATAGGGTTGCTATCTCTAATTTTTTACAAGGCAGAACTCTTGGGAAAGGCAAAAATGAAAGCAATTATGAGAGAAACACATATTATACGGAAAGAAAAGCCTGAGGCATGATTGCTTTTACAGCGGGCAGCTGCAGGATCCCATACGTAACCAACAGCAATACAAAGCTGCCTTCCTTGTGGTGCTGCAGATGTGGTCAGCAAAGACTTGGAGGGACACTCAGGAATTTGGTGGATATCAAACAGACCTGGGGATGTTCTTTTACAGTTGTTGTGGCCATATCCCTCAGGCTCACACTGGGTCAAGAATGCACAAATTTCTGCTGAACAGAAGAGAGAAAAGCAAGTGGAGAGATAGCAGAGCTTGTCTTCCTCGCCTTATACAAACCCTGACTGAGAAAGATCCACTTTGATATTATAGGAAAATTGATGGGAAATAGGAACAAGGAGGTAGGAAATAATACTCTCTTAGCTGGAGAGAGTCCTTGACAAAGAAGATTCAAGGCAGGTTACTTCCACATCCCAAAGCAGCTGCAATCCTGGGCCTGCCCATCATTGCTTTTCCCAAAATCTTGCCCCGTGCACAGATGACTTAGCTCTCTATGAACCCAAACTGAACTGGATTGATGCACTTCTAGTGCTCAAATCACTACCACAAGAATTAGAGGTCTGACTTGATGTTCATCACAAATAGATATTAAATATGAGACAGAGTGTAAAGCAAGCAATCTGAGTCTAAAGCAGTCTAAAATCAGTCTGAGCACAAGAGTAATTCTTGCTACACATTGTGGCAGAAAGATCTGCTCTTGTGAGCCCCAGTCCTGCTCCTTCCTCTGTGAGGCCACTGTGCTAATGAAAAATTCACCTACCCAGAGGCAGCAGTTTTCTTGCTGCCCTCTCCCCCTTCCATAGTCTGCCTCTCCCCTTAAGAGCTCCTCTCACAACCCACACGGATTTCTGGCTGCTAAGCCCAGTTTATACCCCATTTCCAATCTATGATTGTTTTCACACTGATGGGCATCTGCTCCAGGCTTCTTGCCTTATCTAGACCCTCAACCCTTCAGCTCTGGGCCAATTCCTCACCTAGATGTTCACATCTTCCATGAAACCAGGTAACAATGGTGTTCTCCTTCCCTTATTCTTTATCCTCTCCCTCCCCTTGCATCTTTCCTAACATAGCTGACTCCATATGGTGCTTCTCAAACTGGAAATCTGGTCTCTTCAGTGTCTGGATTGTCCCTGAAATGGCTGGAGAAGAGGAGGCTCTACAGACTCCTTTTGGCTCGCATAGAACAAAAGGACAACTTTCTCCTTTTCCTCCTGCCGATTTTTTAAAATAGAGCTATTGGTTTTCTGCATTGTTATTCTGCCTGACTTAATGAGCCATTCCCCTCAAACACTTCACATTAACGTGTTTATGTATTTGCTTGCCTGGCTGGGTTCTTTAATAGCATGCCTTTGGTTCAGGTGCTCCCAGCAGAGGCTGCTCTGCCAGGCTGCAGGAGCTCTCCATTCACTGCAGCTGTGGCTCCAAATTATGCTCTGTGACTGACTGACTCCTTCTGGGGCAATTGCTCAACAGTAATAAGGAATTTGATAAATTTGATCTTTTTCAATGGGACCCATTCACACTGTGCCTTGGAGAGATGAATCAGTCTCATTCTTAGCAGGTTTTTTTCTGCAGTTTTAGCTGAAGGTCCCAGCACGAGGATTATTTAAGAATAGAGTCTAGATTAAGATATCCTGCTAACTTGAATGTGGCTTGGAAGGCTGTTGCAGGGAGTATCAATAGGTTTGGGGGATTATTGTAAAAGTAAATCCATTTTAATTTTAAACAAGTTTGGCAAGCCAGTGCCATCCTTGCCAGAAAAGGGATGTCTGGTCTGGCTGATTGACTCTGGTGAAGCCAGTGTCCAGTGTCAGGCTCATTCCTTTGACAGCTGTTAGAAGATCTACACCCCCAGGGCTTTTCTTCTCTCTTTTGCCCTTGTGCTGGGTAAACTTGAGCTCTGACTGATGCAGCAGCCACAAGAGGGCAAGCAGTGAGAGCAAGCCTATCTACCATTCCTACATTGTGGAAAGCTTCCTGTGAAATTGGATTAGCACTTAAATGTTGTGTGACAGAGCTTTATGTTCTAGGTTTTGTAAATGTCCTCAAGGAAAAAGGAAAAAAAAAAATCACTCCTCAAACTCTCTATCGTTTGGGGACAATTATAGTATTGCCAGATTAATTACAGTGTTTCTACAATGCTCTCCTCTGATTCTACTGTTAGAACACAGCAGAAATCAGAGTCTGTTTTGACCTTTATTCAGAGCCTCCTGTTAAAGTGACTTTCACAACAGAACTCAATTTGTCACATTTTATTTGTACTTTAATTTTATTATTAACAGATTAATGAAGCTGGTAATGGGTTTCCCAATGCTCCCTTTGGAAATGTGAACTGTGTCCCTTCCTTACATCAATCTGCTGTCAGCTGATGAAGCGCCTTTGCAAAATGCTATTAACTGTTACCAGAAGCAATTAGTCAAAATAGCAAGTCAGCTTCAAAAGGAGAGACTCCAGATTCCCTCAGTGTGTTAGGAAAAACGCATTAGTAGGATTTAATCTCTCCAGCAGCCACAAGCTTTAGGCCCTGCAGTAGGTGTCTGGGTTAATGACACATAGAAATGTGAACCTATCAGACTTTAATTTGCTTGAAGGAGCAATGCCAGGTTAAAAAAAAATAGAAAAAAAAAATCACTTTCCAGTGTCATTAACAGTAATCCTCACAGAGCCAGAAATGCCCACGCTCTGTTGTAAGACTCTGTCTCTCTGCCAGCATTAAAAATTCACGAGTGAAATCCTGGCCTTCCCAAAGGCAGTAGGAACTGCTTGTGACAATGCTGAGGCCAGGCTTTGGCTTCTTTGTCCTAATTTCCTGGCCCAAACAAATATTTGAAAAGTATTTCCCATCACCTTCCCAAGCATCAAATTCCAACCCCTTCTTAGAGAGCTCTCTTTTTTTGTGCTGGGCCAGAAAGTCACAAGAGAATTGCTGGTGAGACACACACAACCTCCAGCTCCACTTCCCCCCTGGGAAGTGATGGCTTGGCATCATCATTACTCCAACAGCTTTATTGTCTGGTCAGTATTCCACAAGGGGGGCAGCCCTGCACATGGCAGAGTGGTTGGAACGAGATGGCCTCCAAAGTCCAGAACAACAACTAAATAAACTATTTAGTGCAGTACAACCCATTCCAACCCAAGGCATGGCATGATTTGCTGGGCCTGACAAAACTGTGTTACTGTGCATGTAGAGAACATGAGGTGTGCTCAGTAGATGGTCCCAGCAGGAGGAGGTAAGAGGCTGAGCCCTTTTGAGGAACAAGGCAGCACTGGGTAAAAAGGCAGCAGTCCCCAGCTCCCTCATCCCTGCCCCAGCTGAACTGGCAGGGAGGAATGTGGGGGAGGTGAAGCATCTGGTTTAATGTGCTACATGCCTAGCAAAGTCTCAAGCATGTGCTGTGGTATTCCTACTGCTTCCCAGACTGGACATACCAACAATTGCCCCCCTCCTCTTTCAAATGTTGGAAAACAATGTTATCCATCACTTTTTCCAGTGCATTTCTAAATACATGTGTATTGTATACATGGGTCCAATTAAAAGGAGAAGGTCATGAAAACAACAGTAATTCCACTGATACTGAAAATAAAAAAGATTATCCATTTGTCCTCAGGAATGGGCAGTGAGGTTTCTGTTTCTATGCAGAAGGTTAATATTTTTCATGTCATTTATTATTTCAAATTCCTTCAAACCCAGTCCCAGCTCCTTTGGGTGGTTGCAGTGGCCCTGATGGCTGTCTGAGCTGCATCAGGGGCAAACTCTGGGCTCAGCTCACATGCCTCTCACAGCCCTGCCATATGCCAGCACTCCCACTTTGGGGTTTTTTTGGGGGCAAAGAATGACTCAGCACCGGGCCTTGAGGACATTTTTCCTCAAAGAAAACATAAACAGCTGAACCCCACCCAGGGACTTGGACAAACTACAGTCTGGATAAAAATGACCACCCTTTATTTTGCCAAGACCTCATTGATTAAAAATATGCAGATCCAATGATTTTGCTGAGTGTTTGCAGAGTGTGCTCCTGCTGGGTATTTTCCTCCACTGCCTTCAAGTGAGTAATCACAGTGCATAAGGTTAAAAGATTTTCTTTTCCCTTCCAAGTGCAGAAGGGTACAAGAAGAGTTAGAAGTCTAGGACAAAAAAAGAAAGCCTGGCACAGTCCACTCTAAGATGTAAGAGCAGCACGTCCTATCTTCTTTGATAGGAGCTTCATGACAACAAAAGACTGTCCTCTGGTCCCTCAGTCAGCTCTTTCCACTGATTGGAGGAAGAGCTTCTTGAAAAAACACAATGCATTCTTCAAATATTCCCATAAAAATGGCCTTCTGACTATCCAAACACATTGTCTGTCCTCTTAGATCAAGCATGGCTCTTACACTTAAACATAAGGATTAAAAGGCATCCATTAAAAGGAGAGTTTAAAATTCTATTTTAAAAAAGCTCAGAAGCTTAAAAGACGAATTATTTGTGTAATCTTCAAGATCAAACGTTGCTGAAATAAAGACTTTAACTCCTTTATCAGATAAAACCTGTGTGCAAAGATTGCAAGGGGAGAAGAGACTATTAAGATAATCTAGTTTGACCTCATGACCTCAGGTTTTGGCATCTCACTGGCACAGGACCCTTTCAGTTGTTCATGTAGCTATATGGAAAATTGAATAAAACCAGGGAGGATGCAGCAGACTACATAAACTTGAAAAAAACCAGACCACAGGTGTTCATGTTCCTTTAATATTTGTGTTTGTAGGCAAGGCTCAGTGCTTAAATGGATAGTCCCAAGTCCTCTGCTGACACAGTTGGTGCAGGTCTTGCTGAAGCTCATGGGTGTCATTTTCCATCAGATGAGAATCTGGCCTGAGAAGTTCCCAACCGTAAGAGAGAATGAAGTAAATACAAAAGTGCAAATACCTAGAAAGGGCAAATTGCAGAAATCTTTGGGTAAGTTACATTCCCAAAGTCTCTCTCCATTTTTCTTCTTTTTTGTCTTTCTACTTTTTATGACAAGAGCATAGGATTGTGTTCACTGTGCCAATTTTCAGCAGGACAGGAGGGAGAAGCTGGGACACATTTCTTTGTGTGTGTCTTTTCTAATCTGTTAGAGCTGTCTGATGTCTTCATATCTAATACATTCGGGACCTTTGATCTGAGTTGGAGGATGTCTCAAGAAGGAGTGATGATTCACAGGAAAACAGGATATCCACAGGGGAGCCAGTTGCTCAGTCCAGCAGCATTAATCAGCATTAGATGTGTGAGCTCTTGCTCTGAAACACTGTAAATAAGAAAAGCGTCACAGATCATTATAGGTGTGGGAATAAACAAAGAGAGAAACACAATTTAAACCTCTAAGTGTCAAAAATGGTTTCTGGGTTTCTGAACCACCCACTTGATTTTTTGGTGGAGCAAAACTGTCTGGTGTCCAGATGAAAACATGACTTCTGTTTTGCAAAGAGGCACTGTTTCAACACTTGCTTCTGTTCTGGCACCTAGACTGTTTTTGCAAACCAGGGACACACCTAACACTGGGTAACAGGTCTGAAGTACAAGAGCTGCCTTCCTGTGCCCAGACAGCCCAACAGCCTGGTTACAGTGCCATGCTCTCCCTGGCTTGCTGTGTCTTGCAGCTTGGTTTATCTTTCCCTCTTTCTTCTCTCCTGGCTCCTTTCAGCCAGCGAGTGCCTGCAGCTGGCCTGGCCAGAGCACAGGAGCTTGGAGCAGCTCCTGGGAGGGAGGTGTAATTAACAGAGCTGTCCTTTCACCCAGGGACCTGAGGGACACCAAACTCCCTTGCTGTGTAATCCCTGGCTGACGAGGAGGGAGCTGGTGCTGCACTAGAGGACGATGACTGTATCTTGCCTGGCACCTCTTGGTGGCAGAGAGTGCCACCACTGCGGTGTTGGTAGCTGAGTGTAGAAGAAATGGGCAGCACCATCTCCTCCTCCTCATGCTCACGTGTTCAGGATGAAGCCCTTGTGGCTGGGTTGTACACAGGGTGTGATCACTCTGGACACAGTGTTCCTGAAGGATACTACTTTGTTAGATCCTGTGCAGGACAGCTGGGTGCCAGAAGGGCAGCTGCTCAGGCTGGGGAATGTTTGAGCATTAGCAGAATCAGGGGATGTGGTAATGTTCTGTTCAAACAGGGAATTTTGGCTTCCTGTCAAAATTCCTTCTGATTAGTCAAAAATTTCTGTCAAAATATGCCTTTTAATCCTTCATTTTGACTTGATTTGCCTTGATCATAAGGGATGGGAAGGGTTAAGTCACAAGATAATGGCTTTCAACTCAAGTGCTTCAGGTCTGGGTAAGTCCTGTTCACAGAATCATGTTTGAGTTGAAAGGGACCTTTCAAAGGTCATCTATTCCAACCCTCCTGCAAAGAGGCAAACTCCTTTTGCAAAATCTGCTCCTGGATGAGGCCCAGCACTGAGCAAAATCCCTACAGGTGCACCTTGTCCTGGTGCTCCTGGGAGGTGGGTGGATGTTCCCAGTGATGCTCCCTCCATGCTCTGTCCCTCACTGCAAGTTCATGTCCAAGGAGTGTCCAGGGATCACTCTTGCCTTCCACAGGCACTCTGTGAAAAATCCCTCATGAAAGTGGGGCTGCAACAGGGATGGAGAGCTGTGCCAACAAGTGGGCTCTGAACTCACTTCCATACCTGGATCTGGAGCAGGAAGATGATGGGATGGCAAAGGGCTCTTAGCAGTCAGTGGTTTTAATGGAGAGCTTATTATTCATGATATGAAATGGAACTGTCACCTGTGTCACATGCTCTCTTTCTTAGAAGCAGGAATCCAGCCCTGAGGTACTTAGGTACCAACACCAAAACACCTCAGACCTGAATGACCTGCAAATGGAACTTCTGAAGCCCAAAGGGATGCTGTAACTGCCTGAACTCAACAAAAAGAGGAAATGCTGGGGGCATTTGACTTTATAAACAGTCTTCAGTTGGCCCATTTCCAGCACAAATGCCTCATGCATGGTAATGGATTTCAAGTACACTAAAGAGCACAGCCACAAAACCAAACAAGCCTTAACATTTGACCTTATTGGGGAAAACAAGCCTACAATTACCAAAGAAAACTAAGCATGCCTAGCTAATTGACTCATCTTAGAACTCCAAGTTTTGTTTCCATGACTGAACCATCGGAATGTAAAGCCTTGCCATCTTTCAGCTAGCATGGTTTCCTTAGATCTCATGGAATATCTGAAAATCACCAGTCACCTTCTAACATTGTGAGTAGTCTGTTCAGTATAAAGAGGAGAAATGTACAGACAAACATAAATGGCAACAACACCTTTTTTTTTTTTTTTTCTTTCCTGATTTAACATTCCTGGAACAAAACGTGAACATCAAATCAATGAATTACAGGCTGTTACACCCTTATTGCTGTATGCTCATCCACCCATGAACATTCCATATAAAATTACCTAATAATCAATTTGAAGTACTTTAAAGTAACTTGTTTTCATCCTAAGTCAGTAACAGAATCAGCAGTCCAGTGTCTAGAATTAAGACAGGGGTCTTATCCTCAAAGATGTAAGCCAGAATTGGTGTTAAGTCTTTGGTGGTTTACGTATCATTTATAATGACATCTGTAGGTGCTGAGACTCCTTACAGGAAATAGAAATTTCCCTAAGACATGGGAAGACAATTCTAGCCATGTTTTTTTTAGCCATCCATAATGTAACATTCACAACTAGAGACTGGCCAGAAGTCATCTAAGACAGGTGGCACTTTCTGCTCCCATGAATAACCAGGAAAGCAAGGAAAGGAGGAGATGGTCATACTGGTCTGAGAGGATCTTTCCAGAGCAATGAAGCAGGGGCCCATCAGATAAGTCAGCTGAAGGTATCTTGAGTGAGCACTCTCACTTGTGGATTGTTTGGTTTCCATGGCTCTTGGCAAGTCACTCATGCTAAAATTGAGGATTTAAAATTTTGTTTTGATGAAACTGTCCCAGTGTTACACACATGTTTGAAGGGCAGTTTACAGGTTTAAATTACAGTGTTTATGAAAGCTTAGTGAGGATTATCTTGCAAAAAATGAGGACTTCTGGAGTAAGTGACAAATTATATAGTGACAAATTAATTTTATATTCTGTTTAACCATATGTCAGTAAACTGAAGGCAAGAAAAAAATCTGTTAAGAAGCCATACAGAATGTTTAGCCAAGTGTAAGGCATGGGATGTCTGTTTCATGGTACATCTCTGGCTTTGAGGTGGGCCATATTGTGTTCAGCCTATGTAGGTTGTCTGAGATGAAATGCATGTGATGGGCACTTGAATTTGTATGCAAAACACTGCTGTCAGACTTTCTGGTAGGGGACTGGCTGATATGGACCAACTGTGGGCTGCGCAAGCCTCAGGGCATAATTTACAGCAACCTGAAGCTCAGCAAATTACTTGAGAAAGAAAGGCACAAAGGTGTGTACAGCAGCACTAACCAAAGCAGGGCAGAGCATCCCTGCACCTACAAAGTGCTTTATTTCAGCTGGGGTCCAGAAGCTGGGAGTTGCATCTGGAGATGCAATGCTACAGGTCAAGAGATCTGAGGCCAGGTATATTGTCCATATCTGATTCTGGTTTAGTTTTTGACCCAACAAATGACAGGTAGTCCATGCTGTAGCTTATTAAAGCCCCAATGGGAAACACAGGCACATTTAATAGAGTTCATGTTCCCAACCCGTGATTATTGTTATTATATGGACATGCTGCCTCCAAAACCATGTACCCATGTCACCAGCAAACATCATGTATTGCAAAGAGAAACCAAGTAATGTCTAAGATGAAAGAGCTGCAGGCCACTGGCCACCAATTCTTTTCCTAGTGAGGGCTTTTGGCAGATCACAGGGAAGCATCTGCACAGATCCCACAGAAGCTGTGTGTCTGTACTCTGGCTGTATTTGTATCCAGCCTTTAGCTGGCACCTGCTTGCACCCTCCTGCTGGGAATAGGTTGTGAGAAGATGCCAGAGTGTGCCTGGGTACACTGAGGGGCAAAACTTGTTCTGGCCCCTTGATGTTTAAGCAGCTGTTCTGGATTTGCCAGATTGTGTCCGACAGAGATCCCTGAGTAAACAGGGCAGTGTTATTTATTCCAATTCAGCTGTGATAATTCACACCATCTGAAGAGCAGCCTAATACTGTACTGGCAGGTTTCTGAGATGTTTGCTACTGCTTTGAACAGAAGGATCCTTGGGGCAAGGCGAATATGATTCCCCCATCACTGATGACTCTGGACAAGACAATAAAAGTTACAACACAATTTAAAACAAAAGGAATTAATTCAGAATGAAAATGTAATTGCTAAGGCAGCAGTCACAGGCTTGTGCTCATACAGGACACCCATGTGTGCTGACATATTTATAGATGTTGATTCCAGGCACTAACAGACGGGATGTACAGAGTTTAACCTTCTCTCAGGTCTGGTGACACTCCAAATTTGTTTCTTCTTGTTGCACAAGCTGTAGAGGCAACTCAAAGAATATCCATTTGGAAACATCCTAGAGGAAAGGGAAACTGTAATTTTCAGGACCACAGTCTTCTACAAAACTGTGATTTCGTACAGTCTTGATGTGAACATTAGATATATCTCCAACTACCTGCTAATAGTAGAGTTCCTGCTTCAAATGTGGCTAATCTGCTTTTTCTGGGTAAGTGATGATTCAGTATTTGTCCTCAGATCTCTTGACCTGCAGCTTTACATCCTCAGAAGCAACTCCCATCTTCTGGGAGTTCTTCTCCATCTCAAGGCTCAATCAGTGCCTACTCTCTTGGTCCTTTCTCCCTGTTGTCCTAAAATGAACTTACCAAGTGACACATCTGAATATTCCTCTTTATGACATATCTGTTGTCATGTCATTCTTACTCTTCAAGATATGCTTCCATCTCTTGCCCTTGGCGTCTTCAAAACACCTAGAACAGAAAAGACAGATGCAGATCACCTGATTCACCAGGCTGAATTTTCCATTAAATTGGAGACTTCCTGGAATTAATCCTGAGCAGAATGTGAGCACACCACAAATTGCTCATCAAGTAAATATTTAAGATGTGTATACAGTAAATCTCTAGAGTTTAGTAAAATCAAGACTCAGGGGTATGTGCAACAGCAATTCCTTACCCACTGCTGCCTTCTAAAACTCGGGAAAATGGTAATAAGTTGTGATGGCATTCAAAATTTTGGGGATAGTTTTACTTTGCTGTAAAGCTATCTGATTCAGTCATCTTTTTTTGCTCATGCTTTAGACAAATATGCTCAAATTAATTACAATAGTTCTCCTTTGCTGGTAGGTGACCATTTCAAAGGAACTAAAGCTAATGCAAAATTTCTTGAGTTAAATAACTACAAACTCTCACCTGATTCTACTGGAAAAAGCTTCAGACTCTTAAAGCACATGTAACACGGCAATGTTTTGATTCTAGCTTTGGCTGGTTGGGGTAATTTCACATAGGTAAAAATGATAATGGTACAAGACACGTTGACACCACGACTACACTTATAAAAAGAACATACAAATGCACAGTGACACTCCACACAGGGCTTGCACGTAAGACACTCATAAATCTGAAGTCCGGCGCTGCGGGGAGCCGAGGACTCTTAACTCTCATCAGGTTCAATGTGAGTTGAGAGTGCTTGGTGATTCGGGGGCTGGGGCCCTCAGCGAGGCTCTGCACAGCCCTGTCAGAGACAGGAGTAATTTCCCCTTTCCAGTGTGTGTGCTTCTAATGGCTGGATTAGTACAATTGCCTGATAATCACGAGTAATAGAAATGGCTTTCTGCTACCAAAGTGCTCTTTCTGGAAGTTAATAAAGCTCATTCAACATCGCCTACAGTTTTACAACACGCCGTAATGGAATAATGTAATGGGTACAATGTGAGTACTGTACAAAAGCTGGTGTAAAGTTAAAAATGGATCTAGGGTACTGCTGCTTTTGAATATGAGCAGTGCAAGGTATGAATTAGCTCCTTGAGATGGATACAGGAGTTAATCTGTGAACAATGCGGCCCAGCTCACATTCAAATTTGCTCCTTTTTTTTTTTTTTCCAGATTTGCTTCCTGTCCTTTTCTTCCAGTTGCTTTATATGTGTTCATCCTTGTTAATTCCAAAAAGGTGATTGTGCTTTTAATTTACACCTTCCAGTTTCCTACTGGAATTTGGTTATTAAAGGGGTTATAAAAACCTCTGTAACAATGTGATAAAAGGACACAGCAGGAAACCAACTGTACTTAAAAATTGTAGCATGAATCCCAGGTCAATTTGAAACTTCTAGAAATGTGTAGCCCTGTAACTTGTCAAACGTGTCTCCTGCCATTGTTGGAACGCCCAAACACTTCAGAGATAATTTAACATTGTTTTCACTACGTGCAAACAGAGGAGTATTAAATTTCAGTATTCTGGGATCCATCCATGTTTTGTATGCTCAGTATGACAGGTTTGTTGCTAAAACAGCACATTAACTGTATGTGTAAAGCCTCTAGTCCATTCTTCTTTTCCTGCATGAGTAAGACTTGTATTTAGGGAGAAAATGGCTTTGTCTACCTGTAAATGAAGATCTCCTGAGACACAGTCTCCTAAGAGGTTGATGATAATCGGTTATGCCAAGCCCTCATTACAGTAGTGGCATTTTCAGCAACTGTATGGCGGATTTTGCAATTAACACACAAAGAATTATTCCTTTCTTGTGTAACAACATTTTAATATCAGTAAAAAGTGGTTTTATAGTTCAAGACTACAAATAAAAAAATATTTCATTGTGACCCTTTTGCGATTTGTCCTCAGGCAAGTCTTCAATCTAGTTAGGAAAGAAACACAAGGTGGATGGATGCTTGCTCTACGGAAAGCTGAGGGACTCCCTCCCCACTCTGCAATTGCCACATGTTTTGAATGGAAGATTTTACTCCAAGTAAAGCCCAATGAGTTACTCTCCCTCCCATGGCAAGTGAAATCTCAGGGGCTTTTACCAACACCAGATCCTTTCAAGCTGAACCAGCTGGAAGGGCATGGAAGGGCACTGAAAGGAACGAGTCAAGCACCTCTCTAGCTACTGGACTGCATCAAGAAGGCACAACATAAGCAATGGTAAAGTCAGTAAACAAAATTTTACTGTAATATTTTGTAACACAGATACTGTATTTCTCTTTGAAGTGTAAAGCTACCGTCTTACACAAGAAAGATGGACAGACCCTTTTCCAAGACTAATATGGATACAATAAATATGGAGTTTTACATACTAGATCTGTACACAGAAACTTTGTCCCACAGCCATAAAAATTTACATTTAACAGTGCAACATATAATTTAATCCTTTATTTATCTGACATAGGATGTTTACTTACTAAACACAAGCAACTACCTGGTTTTAATATACATATTTATATATATATATTTTATATATATATATTCAACAATCTGTACAGGTTTCTAAACATAAAACTCCAAAAAGGCACAATTGTCTATACAACATGTACAAAAATGGCTGGAGCTGACAAGAAACAACAATTATTGGTCAAGAGTTCATGATTGCACGAAGATTAGTAATGAGTTTGAGTCAGAAAAATGTGCTTTAAGGAAAGGAAGGTTTGCAAAGAAACCTGCAAGTGTTATAAAAAAAACCCAAAAACCTCTAAAAATAAAAACACAATGAAAAACAAAAACTAGGTTGCTATTACAAGTCTATCCTCATCGTCACTGCTGCCATCGCTAAACTGCACCGTGTTTTGCCGCTGGGGCGGGGCGGCCGGCCTGGGTACCTGTCTGTCCGGGGTGACAGTTCGGTGGACTGGGGACTTGCTTAACGTGGTGGGATTCGCCTTGGAGCGGGGCTCTGCCAGGGCAGCCCTCTTCACCTGGAGGGCAGGGAGGTCATGCTTTGGCTTGCTGGGGTGGGCGAGGTCAGTCTTTTCAAGATCAGTTTTCCCGGGACCAGCGGGGTTGGTCAGCGAGTTGGGCTCGGGATGGCTCTTCCCGCCGTACCGCTGGCCACCAGCCACCGCCTGAGGAGAAGCATCGCGGCCAGCCTCGGCCGTGGGGAAGCCGACAGGAGCGGGCTCCAGCTGGACCTCGCCGGCTTTGGAGCCCGCGGTGGGTGCCTCGGAGGCTCCGTGCCCCTCGGCGCTGGCGGGGCTGACGGAGGGGATGAGGGTGGGCAGGGCGATGTTCAGGATCTGCAGGCCGGGAAGGGGTCCCTGCGGGCTGGGGTTGGTGCCCTGTGGGGCCGCGCCGGCCGTCAGCACCTGGAGGCCCACGGCGTTGAGGGTGATTCCTGGAGGGCGCATCTGCGGGGCGATATTGGTGTTTGCCAGGCCCAGGATGTTCACTGTCTCCATGCCCAGCGGCGGCAGAGGCTGCAGGTTGGGCGTGCCGAGCCCCTGAATGCCTGGCACGCTCACCTGGCCGATGGGAATGCACGGCACCACGCTGTTCACCTCAGCGACTCCCACGGGATTCGCGGTGGTGCCGGGGGCCGTGCCGCCTGTCTCGCCAAGGGCGCTGGTAGTTCTGTGAATCACGCTCACGGCTGGGATAGTGAGCTGCACCGGCCCCGCCTGGATGGGAACGAAGGTGGAGTAGGTGGCCAGGCCGGCAGGGACCACCTGGATGCCCCCGACGGGCACCATGCCGTAGGGAGCCTTGGCTTGCCGCTGCGAGTGCAGGGGCAGGTGGCTGAAGAGGTGAGTCTGGGGAGCTCTCGGCTCGGCAGCCGGCTTCTCCTCCGGGATTTCGCTGTAGGGTGATGGCGCTGTCGGTGTCGGCATGCTGTGGTCTGCCAGCAAGGACGGGGAGCTGACAGAGGGCGTGCTCTGGGAGAGAACAACACATGAGTGTTAATGTGGCAGCCACCACTGCACCTCAGTGACATGAAAACACGAGGGAGCTGGGAGTGCTTCCCATGCTCCCTTTTCAGAAAGAACAACAACAAAATGGTTCATAGTATATAGTGCTGAGCTTAAACAATGAACTGATTTCCTTCCTTTCTTTTTCCACCTGCTTCCTCACCCACTAATTGCATTTTCCTTTCCTAATTATCCTTGCTTAATTTCTCTCAGACACTAGTGCTGAAAAACTTTGCTGAGTATCTTTTGCACGTGTGTTTTAAGTGGTGAGAAGGCTTTGGAGAACTGTTTTATGTGGAAATCACCTCAGGCAAGAAGGTTAAATAAGCATAAGCTGGCATTTTTGATGCACGGCACTGACTTCCTCTCCTGAAGGCATTACAGCCTCCAGCAGGCAGAGGCAGCATCATGGCACATTTGTCATAGGTGCTTCTAGTGTGACAGACAGGGTGTGCAATGACAGGAGATGGCTGACAAGTACAGCTCCTGCAGAAGTGGAGGTGATGGGTGGATACTGGAGTGAGATGTGGGATACACATCCCCTTGCTGCCTCAGCTCACTGTGATTTATTTGGTGCACACACCTGGATTTATAATCCTATTTTTATCCTCCTCTTTCTTCTCTTACAGCTGGATGCTGACCAAGGCTTGCAGCTCCTTTCCTAGAACCTTCTAAAACGAGTACTCTGAAAGTGCAATTGCAATCTCATGGTTATCTTTTTGTTTTTGGCACACTGATCACACACACGCACACTGGTGCAAATTTACTTAGTTTTTACAGTCCTAACTCTCAAAAATTCCCTAGAGCAGGCAAAAAACTCAAAATCAGAGAGAAATGCTTTTGAAATCTGCTCGTAGAAAATGTATTAGCAAAGAGAGATTATGACTAACTGGCTATGCAGTGCCATCCTGTCTAAATGAGAAGATGGATGTGAGAAAGAAGTCAACATCTTTCTCAGAACTGACACCTCACAAGAGATCCTGATAAACTGATATGGATGCTTTTGAAGGAATGTACAACAGCCTTCCTGAGCTATGAGGACTCCTTTTCTCAATTGCAAGATCTGGGATCCACAGCCATTCACAATAGGAACAGACTGTGGATTAACCACTGGAGACACAAGGCTGATGCTTCTTTTGGTCTAGGAAAGGAAAAGAAAATCTGGCAAGGAATTGCTTCCTCATATTATTTACATGTCTTCCCTTTTTTTAATATATTAATGCAGACAATTATTAGCACCATATAAATGAATACCATTCAACATTTTTAATTGCATGAATATTTACTTGAAGCTTCAGTGGTTCTATTTAATGAGGGAGTACACTCAGTTAAATGTCCTTCTGGTATCCACTGGCAGCAATGGAATCTAAACTCCAAATACTAGGACCCTTCCCATTTTAAGGCAGGCATATACAGTTATCAGACACCACTTCATTTTATTCTCTGTCACACTACAAACTCGCTCCAATTAACATTTAACACATGAACTCACAGTTCCTACAAGCCAGGATGAACCTGTGTCAAACAATACAATGCAGCAATAATTTTTATTGTTTCTCCATGTCAACAGTTTGCTATCTTAAACTGTATAAAAAATAAATCCAGTAGAGTAAATTTGTAAGTTTTCAAAGAAAAAAGCCACTAAGTACTTAAAACAGATTGGAATTTTTACTTTTTATGGTTTTGAAAATTTTCTGCTACTTTTGTTCAGTAACTGCATACAGTTAGGTTTAGGCTTGGACTCAATGATCTCAAGATTTTTTCCAACCTAAATTATTAATTCTTTCTATATAATATTTCTAAATATTGCATTCATCATGGAGAAGGCAGTGCCTTGATTACCCTTTTAATTAAACTATTGTGCATTTTTGAGCATTGCTCTGAAAAGCCTGAATGCCTTCATGGTCTGTAGCAAGAATTAAAAATTCCAGAAACTGTCTTTAGGGTCAGTCTGGTAAGTGACTTGTACCATCCCCATCACAGTCCATTAAAGCCATTGCTGAATTGGAAAAGGCTCAGCACCTGCCACTTCTCTCTGTGATTTCATGGGCACACCTAAAAAAAAAAAACTTTGCCAAAATTACTGAATGCTCCCACAGACCTGCACACAGACTGACCTCATCTTTCTGTACACTGCTTTGAAAATCCACATGTCTAACATGTGCATGGGCAAAATACATGCTTTTCCAATTAAAATCTTCTTTCAGCTTGGACAAAAGCTGAGAGCACTGGGAACTCAGGTCTCAGCCCTGTGTTCTTCTCTCCTTTTGTTATTGTGCAAGGGCAATCTCCTAGTTTCCTTGAACATCTGGTGCTCTTTCTAATTCTACTACTAAGCATATTTGGAGGACAGATAAACAACTGCACCATTTTTTTTTTAGTGAAAAGGCAAAAAACTTTGGGACTAGATTAATTTCCCTTTGGAATTACCAATTATTGTATTATCACATTTCAGAGTGAAATGATTGCTGAATTCTATCACTTTCCCCTGAAAACATAACAACCACTGTATGTTCATTCCATGCATTAGTTATTTCCTTCTGACTTGTAATACAATCTACCAGCTCCAAATGACCATATTACAATTAAACCTTTCAGGAAGATTACAATCAAATTTAAGTATTTGAAAAGCAATGCTCCTACAACATCCTTGCGTCTACAGTCCTATATATTTGTGCTTGGACTAATTTTAACTCTTCTGAAAGACTCATCACCAAGAATTCTAAGAATGAAGGGAAAGGCAAACATTTTATTCTTTGAAAAATCTCCAAGAAGATTTTTTTAGAAGGAGGACTTAAAATCCTACTCTCTCCCTGGTTTCAGACACTCCTACCTTTGTATGAGCTGCAGTTGATATTAAGGAGTGGCCCAAGGCTGTATGTGGATCAGGGTACTCCACGGACATCTGGCGACCTGGAGACGCAGGAGCAATGTCCGTCAGTGCCGCATCAGCACCGCAGGGACCCACTCCTCTCTCCTGGGCTTTGTCCTCATGTGCCTCCTGATGGGTGGACTCTGCTGGCGACCTGGAGGTCCTGCTGACTGACTGCACTGTGCTAAGGACAGTCATCTTGGTCAGCAGTGCTTTTGGGAGGCCATCCATGGAGTCTGTGTGAGCCCCGGTGAAGCAGTCTGGAAGCCTGATGTCGTCGTCGGTGCTGGCGGCATCCTGCAGGCCGTGGCGGGATGGCTGGTGCTGGGGGCTGGCCGTCACCGAGGGCGTTGTGGATAGCACTGACTCAGCCTGGCTGTCTTCATCATCGTCCTCGTTGTCATTCTCATCTTCATCGCCACCATCAGACTCCTCCACGTCATATCCTGACCGGTCATAGCCAAATCTTTGCTTCTCACCTGCAAAAGTGGAAGGAGAAGTTAAGGCAATGAAGGCCCTGGACTGACTGGGAAGGAAGCAGGAGAGAACAACTAAAACCACCAAAAAACCACGTGATACGTGTATTTTCCAATCACACCTCACTGCATCAAAGCAACTTAAATTTTGGTTTTTATTTTCTGGCTTACATATTTAACTGTACAGCTACACAATCTTTCATCTTCTGCTTCTATGTTGTTTTTAATCTTCTGGATTTGGCTGTTTTCCTTCATGCCACTTGTAACCATTTGCTCAAAGTCACCCTTCACTCTTGTGCGTGGGGAGCAGTGAGCAGACTCCCGGTTCATTAGGTTCCCAGTGCTGACATGAGGGGCTGGTCTGTCAACCTTAGCAGTGGGATATTCTCTGGCTGGCTCTGACTCATAAGTGGGTGTCCTTATACCTAATGTGAATCATGGCTGCACAGGTTTTTGAAGGATGCAAACAGAAAGACTGGAGGCTGTTAGTCAAGAATCTGTCTTGTTAACAGGCAAAAGAGACCAAAATTAGACCCTAGTAGATTTCTTCACTTCACTAATGCTTTGAAGGGTTTATTAAAAAATTACCTGGGATGTCCTAGGAGCCAAGAAAGCATTAATTGTATCAAAACTTACCTATGAATCTTTGTTTGCATAAAGAAGCCCTCCTTACAGCCAAACCTCTGTCCAGGGGTAAATTCTCTACAAAACACAGTTATACTGCAGCTTTTCACCTTCTTTTGTATCTGACTTGGAAAGAGTTGTCTTTAGTAAAGCGACAGAAAATCCCATCTGCTCTGTCTGATTTCAAGCCAGACTGTCTGGGATAACATTTTACAAAAGACAAAATGCTTTGAATACATTAATATTTTGTATTTGATTAAAGGTCTGTCTCTTGAGCTGTCCAAAAAAACATATCTGCATAAAAATCATTTGGCTCTGTAAAACCAAAGATGTCTGGTTAGATAAAATCTCAGAGATGCTGTTCCCTAGAACAGCATCTTACTTACTTACACAGCAACTTACCATCAAAATGAACATTTCTGAAAAAAATCAGACTCTTACAAGAATTTGAATATACTGCCTATACTTTAGGCTGCTAAGTTACCAAAACCAAAACAAACATTTTGAACTCCAGATGAAATAAATGGGTTTCACAGAGCTACCTTTCAGTAAGTTACCCACCACTATAAGACTTTATGGTTTCAAATGAGCAATGCAATTGGGAACTAATAGCTTCTTTGGAAAAATCCCTCTGTAATGACTTTCCCCCTCTTTGCCTACACACTAATCTGTACATTAGCTAAATATGGAAACTAGATTTCTTATATTTACTACAGCAGATGTGAACATGTCAGACAGGTTATTAAAAATACCCCAAATCCTCCAGGTCATTGGAATGATCCTAACAAAAATATTTATCAGAATTTTAAATAGTCTTAATTTATAATTCTCATGCACAGACAAAGCTGTTAAAAATAGAAAATACATTTTAGTGGAAAAATTAATTCATTAACTTCCATTCCAAAATTATGGCAAGTACGATTGTTAAAGATATTATTAACAACAACATGTGGACTGACTAAATGTTTTTGGTATTTTTTCCCTATAATTCTGTCATTTCTATTCTTCATATAAACAGTATTTTTTCAGTAACTTGCAAAGCAAACATATCTAAAATGTTAGAACATCTACATATGTTTGATTTCTGAATGGACACAACTACCTCTGCCTTCAATACCAATGACAAGCTAGGAGGGTCCTAGTGCCCTGAGCTGGAGGACCATGGCTGTGAGAATGATAAACTCTGAGTTGACTCTGAAGTTGTGTGGGAACTGCTGCTCCAGCTGGATGCCCAAAGTCTATGGGGTCTGATGGGATTCATCTGAGAATACTTAAAGAGCTGCTGATGTCATTGCAAGGCCTCTCTTGATTATTGAGTGATCCTGGGAATGTGGAGAGGTCCTTGCTGACTGGAAGCTGGCTAACATTGTCCCAGTTTTTAAGAAGGGCAAGAAAGAGGACCCCAGAAACTACTGACCAGTCAGTCTCATTTCTGTGCCTGGTAAAGTTATGGAGAGGATTATCCCAGGAGGGATTGAAAAACATCTGGAGGACAACACAGCCATTGGTCACAGCCAGTACAGCTTCATGGGAGGAGAGTCCTGCTTATCAAACCTGATTTCCCTGTGTGACAAGGTAACCCATGTAGCTGACCAAGGGAAGCCAGTTGATGTAACCTTTCTGGGTTTCAGTAAAGATTTTGATAGTGTCTTTCAGAATCCTCCTGGATAAAATGTCCAGCCCACAGCTGGACAAGCAACACATCATGTGATGGATGAACAAATGGCTCACAGGTCAGGCACAAATGGTTACAGTGAATGGGGTGACATCAGACTGGCGACCTGTCACTCGTGGGGTTATACAGGCTCCATCCTCGGCCCTGTGCCCTTCAAAATCTCCATAAATGACTTGGACAGGACTGGAAGGGACACTGAGCAAAACTGATACAAAACTGAGAGGAGCTGTTGACTCCCTCGAAGGCAGAGAGGCCCTGCAGAGAGACAAATTAGAGACAGGCAATCCCCAACTGTATGAAATTCCACAAGGGAAGGCAACAGATTCTGCACCTCGGGCAGAACAACCCTGGATGTACAGACAGACTGGAATGAGAGGCTGGAGAGCAGCCCCATGGAAAGGGATCTGGGGCTCCTGGTCAATGCCAAGCTGACATGAGCCAGCAGTGCCCTGGCAGCCAGGAGGGCCAGCCCTGTCCTGGGGGGCATCAGGCACAGCATGGCCAGGCAGGCAAGGGAGGGGATTGTCCTGCTCTGCTCTGAGCTGGGGCAGCCTCACCTCCAGTGCTGGGGGCAGTTCTGGGAGGCAAAATATGACAAAGATATCAAGCTGTTAGAAAGCATCCAAAGCATAACAAAGATGGTGAAGGGCCTTGAGGGCAAGCCTTACAAGGAGAGACTGAGGTCACTTTGTTCAGCCTGGAGAGGAGGAGACTGAGGGGAGACTTCATTGCAGGCTACAGCTTCCTTGTGAGGAGAAGAGGAGGGACAGACACTTCCCTCTGGTGACCAGTGACAGGACCCAAGGGAATGAATGGCCTGAAGTTGTGTCAGGGAAGGGACAGGTTGGATATTAGAAAAAGGTTCTTCACCCAGAGGGTGGCTAGGCACCGGAACAGGCTCCCCAGGGAAGTGGTCACAGGACCAAACCTAAAAGAGCTCAAGAAGCATTTGGACAGTGCTCTCGGAGACCTTGTGTGACTCTTGCGGATGGTGCTGTGCAGGGCTAAGAGCTGGACTGCAATGATCCTTGTGGGTCACTTCAACGCAGAATATTCTGTGATTTCCTCAATGCCTCTGTAACAGATATTGAAGATTTCTCCATCTAAAGGGGGACCTACAGCTTTCTTGCAACTCTTTAAATAATGAAGGACACATTGCAAAGTCTTGGAGTTCACTCTGGACTCCCTCCTAAATTCAGTCTCTTAACCAATGTCACATAAATATTCTCATTGAAATCCTACCGATTCTTGCCTTTTTTTTCTCCCTCTCTCCACATGAATCACATTTTCTATGAAAGCTGATGTCAATCATGAATGATTGTTTCTACTGGCAGGAGGAATTACCTGAAGTGATTAGACTGACTTGATGCACTTGTAAAGCAAGGAAAAAGTATGTGCAAACAATGATTTAGAAGAAACCATCTTCTTTCAAATCAACATTTAAAAATGCTACCGGATTTACCAGAAAATGCTGCTTATCTAGCAATTTTCTGCATACATCCCAGCTTTCTACAACAAAGCCATGGAAAGAGAAAGGGAAACTGTGTGTGGAACAGATTCCTTACATGCAGGACTCCATGGGATATCATTTCCCCCTATTGTTTCCCTGTTTACCTCCACCCTTTGTGCATTTGCCAGCTTCTATTTGAGTGTGGTTTTACCTGGAGCCAGAGCCTGCAGTGTAGGCGAGGTGACAGCGATGAATGTGGTTCCCTTACTCCCACACCGCTTTGCAACATCAGATGAGTGAAAAATAAGATTCCTGACTTGCTTGTTCTGGCATAGCACAAAGGAATGCTTTGCTCTGGCTTTTATACCTGAGTGCACATTTGCTAAAACAAGAGGTGCCCAGGCTTTTCCAATCAGTGATCCCACTAAGCATCACTGTGGAGTTCAAGAGGATCCAATGCTGAAGTTTTAAAAGACCCAGGTAGGGTTATGGGTCTCCTCTGAAGGAGCCATCAGGCTGACGCTGTGACCACTCTTTGTGGTGGAAGATTCTCTTTCAAGCAGTGTCTTTTTAACTAAGCAGTATTGGCTCCAATCCCATTCTGATAATTGTACCCTGCCTACTAAAGTTCCCTGGCAGTTTTAATTGGGGAAAAATTAATTCTTCGCTTCCTATCTTGAACTATGCACAATTATAACCATATGCTTATGTAGCTGATATATATATATATACACATACATACGTATAACCAGAACTGACTCAGTTTCCAGTGGGAACAAAATTACTTCTGTGTTTAACTTTGTATGAGGTTGTAAAATGGTGTACAGTATTTTCAAATGAAGGATGTATCATAAATTTCAAGGCTCCTAACATATGGAGAAATGGCTTTTGGCATGAAAGTTCAGTTTCTTTTTTAAAAAAGAAAACAGGAAAAAAGTTTCACACTATTAAGTGAAGGCTTATGAAAGCTACTTCTCTTTCGAATTTGTAACTCAACTCTCACCATTTCAACAGACAAACTGTTCAGCCTCAATTTTTCACAAAGAGTCTTTTTGGAAGAGTAGGTAATGCCTTTCATCCTCTGTCAACTGCTGCAATCTTTTATTTTAAATTCTTAGAAAGAGTCTTTCTTCTTCCTGGACTTCACACGAGTAAGTGAATTTTACAGACCTGAACTCTGCAGAAATTAGGAACAGCTGGAAGTAAAAGCTTAATAGAAACATGGACAAAACTTTTGACTGGGGATTTTGTTGT